CATTGACATACCTTATTTACTGAGTTTAGTCATTTCTAACAGCTACGTTTAGATAAGAGGGGGTAAAGGAGGTTTTGTGGGTGAGGGGCTTGGACTTCCAGCAAGCGTGCATGAGCGTGTTAGATAGGAGTGAATGGAGACGAATGATACTTGGGACCTGACGATCTGTTGGAGTGTGAGCAGGGTAATATTTAGTGAAGGGATTCAGGGAAACCGGTTATTTTCATATAGTCGGACTTGAGTCCTGGAAATGGGAAGTACAATGCCTGCACTTTAAAGGAGGGGTTTGGGATATTGGCAGTTTGGAGGGATATGTTGTGTATCTCTATACGTATATGCTTCTAAACTGTTATATTCTGAGCACCTCTGCAAAAGCAGTGATAATGTGTGAGTGTGGTGAAAGTGTTGAATGATGATGAAAGTATTTTCTTTTTGGGGATTTTCTTTCTTTTTTTTGGGTCACCCTGCCTCGGTGGGAGACGACCGACTTGTTGAAAAAAAAAAAAAAAAAAAAACGTTTAGATGCCATCATAAACAAAGGAAGAAGTGACAAGAAGTCATGCCAAGAATTGTATACAAAGCTGAATGCGTTAAAGGGAGTCACTGGATCGAATGCACATTGATACACATTTCCTTTGGTGCTGAACCAGAGAAAACATAATTTTTTTCCTCTGCCCGGCTACCACACCTCATATTTATGTGAAATTTATTGTACTGTGGGTGTTTGTATCATGTTTATATTCTATATATGTAATGTGTTTCTTATATAATTTTGAAGAAGATACCATAGATGGATTAATGAATATGTCTATATTAATGTAAAATAAGACATTTAATGCCCAAGAGTGATTATTATTATTATTACGTATTAATATTATTATTATTGTGTCTAGACTAGAGAGATATTCTTAGTGATTTTAATGTGTACCTGCATGCCAGCAGAGTGTGTAAGTTTATTTAGGTACAGGTATACATAAGTATAATTATCAGAGTACAGTCTCTCCTCACTTAACAACGGAGTTCCGTTCCTATGACCATGTTGGTAAATGAATTTGTTGCTACATAAGGAACATATTATAATGGTAGTGGGTTTGTGTCAGCTCTCTTTGATATTGTTTTAATGTCACCTTTGCACCATTTATAACATTTCTGGTATACATTAGGGCCCCACTTATATGGCAGGTTAGGTTCCAAGATACTGCCAGAAAGCAGACATTGCTGGAAAGCAGAACACCATTTTTTCCACTTATAAATGCATATAAATGCCAGATAACAGGTTTACACTATATTAAGTTAGCAATAGAACTAGGCATAAAAACAATAAAAAGTAAAATACACACACAGTACACCCATTACTTAACTTAAAATATTTGTAGTCTTAATGTAGGGTGAGAGGTGAGTTTTATTTGTAGGAAGTCAGGTTTGTGAAGTATGGTAGCCAGCCAGGTCAGCCCACCCCACCCCACCCACACATAATATACTATGACATTTAATTAAGGTGCCCCAGAGCGATAAAATATATGTACAGTACATTCATTAATTACCTTAAAATATTTGTAGTCTTAAAAAAAACCATACCACGGGCGGGGATAGAACCCATGATCAGAGAGTCTCAAAACTCCAGACCGTGGTATGGTTTGTTTGCAATCGTGTCATTACGATTTCGTGAGTCATGTTAACGGCTTTGTAGTCTTAATGTAGGGTGAGAGGTGAGTTTTGTTTGTAGGAAGTCAGGTTTGGGAAGTATGGTAGCCAGCCAAGGCAGCCCACCCCACCCCACCCACATGTAATGTAAACAAACCAGGCGAACGTCTCTGGTTTTCGTTCATACATGTTTGTATTATACCATAATACAGACACTTTACATTGTGTACACGTTGTCTCCACACTGATATAGTAGAATAAATAAAGAGAAACACTCCCATTCCCACGTAATGCCATTTTTATAAGAAATGATGCTCTGAGTGAAGGCATATGAAAGGAATAATTTTTTAGTCACCCCCAGTAATATTATAGTGTACACATTTTCTCTGATGTTGGACTACAAGTCGCCTGGCTACCACAAGTCCTACAAGTCGCCAGGCTACCACAAGTCCTGCAAGTCGCCTGGCTACCACATCTCATATTTATGTTAATTTATTCTACTGTGGGGTGTATTTATCATGTTTATATGTAGCATGTTTATTATATAATTTTGAAAAAAATATCATGCATGGATTAATGGAAATGTTTATATTAATGTAATACATATATGACATTTAATGTGCCCAAGAGATTATGTATTATTATTAATATGGCGCCAAGAGAAGAGAGAGACTTATTGATTTTAATGTGTGCCTGCATGCCTGCACAGTATGTACATTTAGGTACATATAAAATATTTTAGGTAGTAGGTTGGTAGACAGCAACCGCCCAGGGAGGTACTACCGCCCTGCCAGGTGAGTGTAAAATTGAAGCCTGTAATTGTTTTACACGATGGTAGGATTGCTGGTGTCTTTTTTTTTTTTTCCTGTCTCATACACATGCAAGATTTCAGGTACGTCTTGCTACTTCTACTTACACTTAGGTCACACTACACATTCTTGTACAAGCATATATATACACACCCCTTTGGGTTTTCTTCTATTTTCTTTCTAGTTCTTGTTCTTGTTTATTTCCTCTTACCTCCATGGGGAAGTGGAACAGAATTCTTCCTCCGTAAGCCATGCGTGTTGTAAGAGGCGACTAAAATGCCAGGAGCAAGGGGCTAGTAACCCCTTCTCCTGTATATATTACTAAATGTAAAAGGAGAAACTTTCATTTTTCCTTTTGGGCCACCCCGCCTCGGTGGGATACAGCCAGTGTGTTGAAAGAAAGAAAGAATATAAAATATGAAATAACTTTAAAACACTTGAAATTTGGGAAAGTTTCCGGACATAATAAACAGATGTGCTTACGGAGAATGTAAACAAACTCGGTAGGGTGTGCCGCATTAGAAAGATCGGAAACCATATAGCAAGTTTTGGTCATAATTTGAAACTGCCATGTTAGTGGAATGCAGTAAGGCGAAACACCTTAAAGCTGGACCCTATTGTCTGCCTTCAGCATTCTATGGAGAGGGAGCATGGACACGGGGGTCATCCCCCACACACTAAAAACAACAGACATAGCCCCACTCCACAAAGGTGGTAGTAAAGCAATTGCAAAGAACTACAGACCAATAGCACTAACATCCCATATCATAAAAATCTTTGAGAGGGTTCTAAGAAGAAAGATTGCCAACCACCTTGATACCCATCAGTTACACAACCCAGGGCAACATGGGTTTAGAGCAGGTTGCTCCTGCCTGTCCCAGCTACTGGATCACTATGGCCAGGTCCTGGATGCTGTTGAGGATAAACAAAATGCAGATGTGTGACCATGGTGTAATAGCACACAAAATGCATGACAAAGGAATAACAGGAAAAGTTGGTAGATGGATCTATAACTTCCTGACAAACAGAACACAAAGAGTAATAGTAAACAGAGTAAAGTCCCAGGTAGCCATGGTGAAAAGCTCTGTTCCACAAGGCACAGTACTCGCTCCCATTCTATTCCTCATCCTCATTTTGGACATAGAGATGTAAGCCATAGGTCCATGTCTTCCTTTGCGGATGACACCCGGATTGCCATGGGAGTGACCTCCATCGAAGATGCTGCAAGACTCCAAACGGACATCAATCAGATCTTCAAATGGGCCACTCAAAACAATATAAAGTTCAATGAGGAGAAATTTTAACTATTCAAATATGGAAAACTTGAGGTAATTAAAAATGTATCAGGGTATATGACAAATTCTAACCATACAATAGAGCAAAAAAGAAATGTGAAGGACCTGGGAGTGATAATGTCAGAGGATCTTGCCTTCAAAGACCACAACAATGTATCTACCTCATCTGCTAGAAAAATGATAGGATGGATAATGAGAACCTTCAAAACTAGGGACGCCAAGCTCATGATGATCCTCTTGAAATCGCTTGTTCTCTCTAGGCTGGAATACTGCTATACACTAATGGCCCCCTTCAAGGCTGGAGACATTGCAGACCTGGAGAGCGTACAAAGAACTTTCACGGCACACATAAGTACGATAAGACACCTAAATTACTGGGAACGGTTGAAGGTCCTTGATCTGCATTCCCTGGAATGCAGGTGAGAGAGATATATGATAATATACACTTGGAAGGTCCTGGAGGGGTTGGTACCAAACCTGCACACGAAAGCAAAAGACTCGGCAGGAGATGTAACATTCCCCCGATGAAAAGCAAGGGCGCCACGAGTATGTTGAGAGACAACACAGTAAATGTCCAGGGTCCAAGACTGTTCAGCTGCCTCCCAGCATACATAAGAGGGATTACCAATAGACCCCTGGCTGTCTTCAAGAAGGCACTGGACAGGCACCTAATGTCAGTAACAAATGCACGTTGTTCAAGGCAAGCAATTAACTGATCACACATTTTCATCATATCGCCTATAGGGACTTTTTCACCTGTGTTCACAATGTCATCATCATCACTACTATTCTCACGCTTATTTGTATTTGACACCATGTCAGCAGTTTCACCATCACTCGAGGAATGCCCAACAGGTGCATCATTGTCAGTGTTCAGCTTGCTGTAACTCCATTAGCACACAGTCAAGATCTTTGTTTTTTACCCTATGCAGTGTTTTCCTATTTTTCATTAGTTTTGGTCATCACTGTCACTATAATACTTTAGTAACTTGTCTTTCTGTTTCTTTAAATCATAAACAGTGGTAGTTTCAACACCATATTCTTCAGTAAGACACCGCACTGACACACCACGATCAGGCTTCTGCAGTATCTCTACCTTCTGGGTTATTGATAACTTCAGATGCTTCCTTTTCTTTTTCTCACTGTTACCCATAGGGGTACCTATGTACCTAGGTACCTACTGTACCTATATAGTACTCTATACAATATCTATACAGTACTGTATACAGAACTAATTCATAGTTTTTTCCAGGGTGTGACATTCCCAGCAATGAATGCCTTGATGGCAAAGTGGGTTCCTCCCCTTGAACGAAGCAAGATGAGCTCCCTTGTATATGCTGGTAGGTAGAGTACAATACATTCAATAAAAAACTATATGCAGCAAAATTGTGAAAAGTGTGAAGTAATTCTATTGGAAGTAGGTCACAGATGTTCACCTGTTTTAGAAATAATTTTTGAGAACTAAAAAATATTTAATCAAATGACCCCTTAGTATCTGATACAAGTTCCAATGAAAGTTGAAGACAACATTTTTGAAAGGCATTAAGGCTTCAGGATGCATGGTTTCTTCAGTCATTTTATTCAGAATACTGTTTATAATCTGATCAGAACTATGCTCCTCTCTGGTACAGTATTTTGTTTTTTATGGTAAATATAAGTTTTCATTTGTTGTAGCAAATACTACTTTCACTTGGATCCCATTTCCTTTCTCTTTTTATGAAGTGTTTGGCCCGAGTCTTGATGAAAATTAGCCTTGTGACCCATGCCTTATTGTTAGCCTTGCACATCACACACAATATACTCTGCATTACATTGTTTTTCTTGAACACACTGGGATTTTCAGAGTGATACACCAGTAAAGGCTTCACTTTGAAATCCCCACTAGCATTACCACAGAACAAAAGAGTAAGCCTATCCTTCATAGGCTTGTATCCTGGCAGTGCCGTTTCCTCCTATGTGATGTAGTTCCTCTTTGGCATTTTCTTCCAAAAGAGGCCTGTTTCGTCACAATTGAACACTTGTTGGGGGAGGAATCCTTCAGCCTCTTAATGAATGCTTTGGCAACACATTTGTCAGAACTTGCAGCCTTGCCATGACTTAGCTGTGTATGCCACTTCACTTCTTGAATCTGTTGAACCAGCCTTTGCTGGCCTTAAATTCACTAACAGCAGCACTCGTTCCTGGCATTTTCTTTACGAGATCAGCATGCAACTGCCTTGCCTTCTCGCAAATTATCCCCTCGAAAACACCATCTCCCGCTAATTGTTTCTTATCGATCCACACCACCAACAACAACAACAACAACAACTCCACATCCTCGATTGTTTGTGACCTCTGTTTCGTTAGCATATTTGCCCCTTTTACAACATCAGCTTCCTTGATTTCTGCTTTCTTCAACAGGGTGGAACTGATTGTTGATGTAGATTTCCCACACATCCTGGTAAGCTCTGTCACGCGTACGCCACTTTCATAATTTGCTATAACTTCTTTCTTGAATTCTATCATGTTTTTCACCTTCTTTGCCAAAGGGCTGGCACTCTGAACTTTCTTTGGCCTCATGGTGGCTTATTTCACAGTCAGTAAACAATAAATAAGCACAAAAACAATAAAGAAGCACAAAAAACAATGGATGAATGTGCTGAGTATTCCTAACTCTAACAGAGAGAGACGCAGACTGTGATAGGTGTGAGGTAGTGGTGTCGCGGGCGGGTGGACATGTCGCATACCAACGATTTCCGAGCGGATCAGCGGAATGTGGAGGGAAATTTCGCCGAAAAAAGTGCTCAATTTCCAAATTGTATGATATCTGCACCAGCCAAAAACCTGGGGTCCACTGTACAGTGGACCCTTGGGTAACAATTTTAATCCGTTCCAGAGAGCTTGTCCTTAACCAATTTTATCGTTAGCCGAATTAATTTTCCCCATAAGAAATAATGGAAATCCAATTAATCCGTTCCAGACACCCAAAAGTATTAAAAAAAATTTTTATTTTTCACTTGTAATATACATTTTCCTACACAGAAAACAATGAGACATGAAGAATAAATACATGAAGAATAAATGACACTTACCTTTATTGAAGATTTATTGATGAGTGATGAGATGGGAGGAGGGGAGATGATGGAGGTGTTGTATTATTGTTTGGAAGGGGAATCCCCTTCCATAAGGACTTTAGGTAGCAAGTCCTTTTCTGGGGTTACTTCCCTTCTTTGTTTTTTTAATGCCACTGGGAACAACTTGATAGTCACTGGAAGTCTGTCGCACCAAAAATCTGTCCATAGAGCTCTGTTTCTGGCATTCCTTTAAGATTTCCCTAAAATGGGACACAACATTGTCATTGTAAAAGTCACCAGCATGGCTTGCAACAGCTGTGTCAGGGTGATGTTCATCCATAAAGGCTTGCACCTTTGTCCACATTGTACAAATGTCCTTAATCGTTGAAGAAGGCAACTTTCTCCATCTCTCTCTCCCCTCCTCTGAAGCAATTTCCTCACTTGTGGTCTCTTGCTGTTGCAGATGCTCTTGCAGCTCATCAGTGGTTAGTTCTTCATTGTCGTCATCCACCAACTCCTCCACATCCTCGCCACTAACCTCCAACCCCATGGACTTCCCCAATGACACAGTAGATTCCACAACTGGTAGAGGCTCCTCAAGGTTAGCGCCAAACCCTTCAAAATCCTTCTCTTGTACACATTGTGGCCACAATTTCCTCCAGGCAGAGTTCAAAGTCCTGCAAGTCACTCCCTCCCAAGCCTTACCTATAAAATTTATGCAACTGAGGATACTGAAGTGATCTTTCCAAAACTCTCTTAGGGTCAATTCAGTGTCTGAGGTCACTTCAAAGCACTTTTGGAATACTGCTTTGGTGTACAGTTTTTTTAAATTTGAAATGACCTGCTGGTCCATGGGCTGTAGGAAAGGAGTGGTGTTAGGGGGCAAAAATTTCACTTTGATGAAACTCAACTTCCCCACAATTCGCTCTTGCAAGTCTGGAGGATGAACTGGAGCATTGTCTAATACCAGGAGGCACTTGAAGTTCAATTTATTTTCCAGGAGGTATTTTTTCACAGTGGGGCCAAACACATGATAGAACCAATCATGGAAAATGTCCCTAGTGACCCATGCCTTACTGTTTGCCTTCCATATCACACACATTAGCTTTGACAACACTGTTTTTCTTTAACACTCTGGGAGTTTGAGTGATACACCAGTAAAGGCTTCACTTTGCAATCCCCACTAGCATTACTATAAAACTTGAGAGTTAGCCTGTCTTTCATAGGCTTGTGTCCTGGGAGTGCCTTTTCCTTGTGAGTAAAGTAGGTCTTGTTTGGCATTTTCTTCCAAAACAGGCCTGTGTCATCACACTTGAACACTTGTTGGGGGTTTTAATTTTTCAGCCTCTATGTACCCCTTAAAGTCCTGCACATATTTTTCAGCCGCTTTTTGGTCAGAACTGGCAGCCTCACCATGCCTTATCACACTGTGTATGCCACTATGATTCTTAAATCTCTCAAACCAACCTTTGCTGGCCTTAAATTCACTAACATCAGCACTAGTACCAGGCATTTTCTTAATGTGATCTGCATGCAACTGCCTTGCCTTTTCACATATGATTGACTGTGAAATACTCTCCTGATAATTGTTTGTCGTTGATCCACACCAATAACAGTCTCTTCACATCTTCGAGTATTTGCGGTCTCTGTTTTGTAAGCATACTTGCACCTTTCGCAACAACAGCTTCCTTGATTGCCTTTCTGTTGGCCAAGATAGTAACGATGGTTGACTGGGGTTTATTATACAACCGGGCCAGCTCGGAAGCACGCACTCCACTTTCATACTTAGCGAGTATCTCTTTCTTCAGTTCCATAGTATTTCTCACCCTTTTTACCACAGGGTTGGCACTAGAAGCTTTCTTTGGGCCCATGGTGGCTTATTTAGCAGTTACAAGCACTAAAAAATGGAATAATACAAAATGTATCGCATGTATGTGTGGAACCATCCGCCCTGGCTTGTAAACAATGGCACACTGGCTGTATATAGTGGCCGGGCAACCACGGGCGGCCCAGGCCATGCGGACACGTTCGGGACGAATGTCCCTAACAGAGTTTTTCATTGTTTGCCAAGCCAATATTTGTACGCAAAGACGCATCGATATCTGATTTTATCGCTATCTGATGGCATCGTTACAATAGGGTCCACTGTAATTGGATGTGTGTTGTTTACTGTGTGATTTGAGACTAGTGTTCCCATAGCTCATAAGGCCAGTTTTTCCCCTACCTCGCTGTATGCAAAGAAAAAAGAAAAAAATTACGATATGCTTCATAAGATTCTAATGCAGTTAAATATCAGTATTGAAGATTTGAAGTCAGTCAAAAGAGGTATTCACAAGGTATCACACAGAAACTATCCTATTTTCTTCAGTAAAAATGGGAAAATTGTTACCTACACAACCTATAACCAGTTATCCTTCCAGTAAGTAAGATTCATCAGCTTTGAATGATTAATGCTAGTCAGAAGAGGCACTTTCTAGTTTTCATACAGAGGTCAATATCCCAAAATAAACCAACATAAAATTTATAAGTTTGAACCCTTTCAGAAATTGCATTCTCAAGTTATTGGCAGTAAAGGTTTGAAGCCAATCAAATAAGGTATTCACAAATTATAACACAAAAACTACTATTTCAATATTTGCAATTTTTTCAATGAAGTTGACAAATTAGTACCTTTACAGTTCAAAATTAATTAAATTTCTAGGTCAGTTTCATTAAAGATTAAAGAATTTTTATTTCAGCATGATACAATGTACAGAGGTGGGTAACATTTAGGTGTGCATGCAGAAAGCCCTTTAGTTTGCAGAGTATTTCAGGCAAACTTAAAACTGTCTAAAGACTAATAAGGCAATAATATATGATTGCTTGCATATACAGTCTTTAATTGGTTGTAATAGTAAATTTAGGAATTACAGTGAACACTTTTATTGAGTTTAATGGTTTTAAGGTATTGAGGATTCTAGCATGTGAGCATATTTTGAATACATTCAGTATATGTGATAGTTGTGATTACAAATAGAGTGAACCCCTGTGTTTTGGCGGCCGCGACTTTCGTGAAATCCGACTTTAGGCAACTTTTTTCAGCAAAATACAGTGGACCCCCGATAACGATATTTTTTCATTCCAGAAGTATGTTCAGGTGCCAGTACTGATCGAATTTGTTCCCATAAGGAATATTGTGAAGTAGATTAGTCCATTTCAGACCCCCAAACATACACGTACAAACGCACTTATATAAATACACTTACATAATTGGTCACATTAGGAGGTGATCGTTAAGCGGGGGTCCA